ATAAAGGGCATTTTTGCCAACTTTAAACTGCCATAAAAATGGAACGATTTGACCAAATTGAAAAATTTTTTCACAGATACGCTAGAAATCATACCTAGATTTAATATCGCCAATAAAAATTTTAGCTGCCAGGGGCACTTTAAGGCAAAGAAAACAAGACAGACAAACGCCATACTTCTTACTCTGAGCTAAAGATTTTGAATTTATGTACCAGGAAACAACACATGACATAACCGCTACTGTACTTGCGTTTTTCATGTGACTAACCGGAAGTCGCAACCTAAGTCACAACATAAGTCGCAACCCAAGGCGCAACCTAAGTCGCAACATAGAAAATAAGAGGAACAATAAAATAGTAGAGAGACTATGTCCCTTCTGAGCCACCGTACTTATCCATGCAATGGACTCAATGAAAATATTAAAAATATCAAATCGTATTTCTCTTTTAAGAAAAAAAATAAAATCCTATTACTTACTATCTGCTTAATGCAAATACTGTAAACATAATGTCAACTTTTAACTATTTTTATGTAAATAATCGTAATATATACTGCCCTCTTTGTCAACATTTGTAGTAGTAGTTACTTGTAAATGTTTTTTTGGGTCAGCCGAGGGGGGTCCTAGTATCCTATGCACAAAAATACCCCAAATCACACTGATAATTTAAAAAAATGCCAGAAATGTCTGGATCTTGAATACCCCAAAATACTAATTCAAGTAATATGTTTCAGTTGAAGGATTTATTTATTAACAAACATAGTCCTCCGTAAACTTAGGGCAGATCCAGCAAAATGTATTTTTGACACATCACACTGACATTGTACACACATGATCACAATTGTAGATATGCATAGGTAGGTCTAGGGTATTCAACCGGAAAATTTTAAACATTCACACATTCTGAGGGGACTTTTCATCCATCCTCTATACATAAAACTCGAACAATTGTAAAATTCACACTTATGTTGTGTGCATTAATTGAAACCTACACAATTATCTGACTGGTAAAAAAAAATTTAATACTTCTGCAAGCGAGAATTAATTTAAACAATTTATGCAACATGGTTAGAAGCATGGTTAGAGTTCTTTTTGGAACAACTCATACAAGCATAGTAGTTCGAAAGAAGAAAAATGTGTGTGGCTATGGTAACAATGTCAATGTATCAAATGACTGTATCCTAAATGAAGAGCAGGAACATTTTAACCCTAACAAAAAAAGTCTATAGGCCTGGCCTATAGGCCAACCTATAGGTTTCTATAGGAAACCTATAGGTTTTTATAGGCAATTGGAACGTTTTCTATAGGTGACCTATAGGGATGCCCATAAGTCTATAGAGCTCTATAGGTGCCTAAAGGCTTCTATAGGAAATTGGAACAACTTCTATAGGAACCTATAGGTTACCTATAGACTTTTTTCGTAAGGGAAATTTCGCACTAAAAGCGAAATTATTAAAATTTCCTTTGTTCTTTTGGTCATTTGTGCAGTAGGTGTGAGTGGAAACCTTGCACAACCTAATGAAATTGTTGCTGGTGTCAGATATCGTCGTCGTTTGCAACTAAGCTTAAACAGTCCAATCAGAAACGTAATAAAATCTGACGTCAAACTTTATCTAATTGACAAACTTTGTAGGTTCTATGTAAACAAGTGAGCAAGTTCTATATTTTCACAAACATTGTTTATTTCACTTTGGTTCAAACGTCAAAAACAAGAAATCTAGAGTTGCCAAACAATTGAGGAATTTTTAATGTCCATTGACGAAGATTTACTCAAGTATGCAGATTTATTAAGAAAACACTGATTTACGAGCAGCAGCACAATGAAATATAAATATAAAATATAAATCGTGTATATCAAAAGGCTATCGCTATGGCCATGTTCAATTATTTCTTTTTCAATTTCTTTCAAGGAGGCCGATCCTTGGCTAACAACAATTGTTTCTAAAGGACAGAATTTTCGAAGATAGTTTGGCTGAGTTCTTACGTGTGTTTGTGGATGACTTTCAAGACCGGCCAGTCTCACAATGCAATTTCAAAATATTACCAACTGATGCAATTTCAAAATATTACCAACTGATGCAGGGCTAATTCCCAAAGATCGGGATAATGTTCTATATATGCAGTATTAAAAGGCGTGTTCTGCAAAATCTGAGTTCTTATTTCAATTGGTAGTGGTTTTCCTTTGAGTTTATTAACCTGATACACGATCAGTACATGATGTAGTAATTATGACATTCTCAACGTTTTTTTTTTTAAACTTGTCACATACGTTTTTTACAACACTCAAGGTTTATGTCAGTTAGATCAAGTTTGACGTCAGATTTTATTGCGTTTCTGATTGGACCGTTTAAGCTTAGTTGCAAACGACGGTAATTTCAACTCAACAAATGAGCTAATTACCAATCTTAGCAATCTTAAGAAATATATGAATACAAACAAATACAGTAACCAAAAATACCTGAAACCAACAATTAACCAAGACTTGATTTCAACTGTAACTTCCAGAAGCAGAAAGTTGACACAATGAATAAGCAAAGTTTACACTCGCACCCATATTCTAAAAGCTTACTCACACTCAATGAGTGGAGGTTCAATCTGAGTGTCAATGCTGTTTTTGAATAGCTGGAGGGTGAGTAGTCACCAAGTAAGGTATGACACTAGCCCTCCAGCTATTCAAAAACAGCAGTGACACTCGAGAAAACTCAGATTGAACATCCACTCATTGAGTGTGAGTGAGCTTTTAGAATACGGGCATCAGTTTTTAGTGCAGAGTTTCTTTGAAACTGTGCACTATTGTGATGACTGGGAAAATTCACATCAGTCAGTCAGTCATAGTGTTAACTTTTCGGGGGGTGTATTAATGTGTATACGATTTATGTTTGTGGTGATTTATTGTGCTTTGAACGTTATTTAGGCAATTTCAGTTGTTTTATTTAAATATTCTTTTGTCCTTTTGCCAAGTTCACAAAAATTTTGAGGAATCGTTGTTGTTATTGTAAATTTTTGTAAATTTTATAACATTCGCTTCTTATGTTGTGTGTGAAGGATCTCTCCCCCGGAAAACCCATTTTTTTCTTTAGCAATGCACATGCGCTATCAAGCTGTAGATCACGATGGCATGACGATGCTATCTAGGAAGGAGAACTGGAGCGACACAGTGTTGTTTTCAAATTATAAACATTTTAGATGTGAATACTGAGTAAATCTTTGAGAATCTACGCAATATATAAATCGATGTTATGCATTACAGGCATTCAATGAAGTACCGATATTATTTTGATGGTATATTCATTGTACAAAGTGAGGAGGCAGCAAGACAAATGTTGTTTCAAAATGTATAAACATTTCAGACGTGTAATAATAATATATTGAGAAAATCTCTGAGATACTACGCAATATATAAATCAATGTTATGCATTACGGGCATTCAATTAAGTACCAATATTATTTTGATGGTATATTCATTGTACAGAGCTAGGAAGCAGCAAGACAGTGTTGTTTTCAAATGTATAAACATTTCAGACATGTATTATATTGAGAAAATCTTTGAGATACTACGCAATATATAAATTGATGTTATGCATTACGGTTTACGGGCATTCAATTTAGTACAGATATTAGTTGACGGTATATTCATTGTACAGAGCTAGGAGCAGCGAGACAAGTGTTGTTTCGAAATGTATAAACATTTCAGACATGTACACTATATTTTAATTGATCCATTACGATTTACGGGCATTCAATTGCCGATATTAGTTTGACGGTATATTCATTGTGCAGAGCTAGGAAGCAGCGAGACAGTGTTGTTTTCTAATGTAATGTATAAACATTTCAGACATAAATATTGAGAAAATCTTGGTTTACGTGTCTACCACAAGTCACAACAGTGCAAACTCGTGTTCAGTGCAACGAGAACTCTACCAGATCTTACGAGAATCTTCTGTATCAAAGCTTGTCAAAACTGCTATAAACACTGCTATAACTGTGAAACCATTGAAATATTGATTACATGTGAAAAGCTGAAAATGACATGAACACAACGTGACCTTCAAAGTAACTCAAAGGTCAGTGAGCTTGTTATTGTGAACACGTCACAACTAGGTTAAAATGCGGATGCGAAACGGAGCAGATCCACGTAATGGGTATGGAGATAAAACGCGGAATAGAATGGATTTGGATAAAATTGCCTCGTTTTTTACGTTTCTGTGTTTTAGATTTATGTTTTTTTTGTAATGGAATACAACATCGTAGTGCTTATTCATGACATATCTTATACAGCTATTTCAATTAAAGTTGTGACTGAGACAATAGTCGAATGTACAATATGGGCACTAAAACGATGATGGCATTGGCAATAATCATAGATTTAAATAAGTTTAGCATATCATATCAGTAGCCTTGTGGGGATACTTACGGCGACAGCTCCAATAAATTGTGTCAGTTCCATGAGGCACAATGTTTCTGATGTGTTAGGCTTGTTTCAAACGTCAGATTACTTGTATGCCAAACGAAATGCATTAAAAACAATAGATAATCAAATGCCTATGGTAACTGTGTATTTTGTAGTGTAACCCATCAGCTGTTCTGTGTTGTCAGCGATCCTATATAATTCTTGTATTGTCTTTCAATTTCAAACTTTACAACATAACAGAAATTATGCCTTGTCGCTCTAATATTATATGGGAAATAAATAATATTATGTAACTCTCGTTATTCTTCAACTGTGAAGTATTATATTTAAACCAGATCATAGCCTTTTTACAGTTGTAACAGTTCTGTGCGCTACTACGACATGTGATTAAGGCTATAAACCATGTTTGAAAAGCTATTCAATTAATAAGCATGCCTTATAGCGTTTGTCTTTGAAACTCTGCACTATCCTTGGATCCCTAGTTGTACTATGCAATAAAGTTATCTTTAATAAAAAAAGAAATCGTCTTGTGCCTCACTTTGTCTGTTGCTTTTTGGTCGGCTACTGGGTCAATCAGTTGTCTCTTTTTCACATTCGTCACCAGGTAAAGGTTCACCCTCTTCGCTAACGACTATTGTGTCATCTGATGAGTGCAACAATGCCAACAAGATATAATAATAATTGTTCTCTAGTTCGATTGTATCGTCTGCTATTGATTTAACCTTGCTGACAGTTCTCATAATACCTTCTTTGGAAACCATGGCTGGTTGTCGCGAAGAGAAGAGGATCAATAATATCCTGGCTGTACCACTCTGAACGGAAATGGGTAACATCGTCATCAACAGCTAAGTCCTCCAATAACTTTACAACATAAAACATACTTGTTTGTACAGAATTTGGTCTGCGACCGTGGGAATAAACTACATATGATTCTTGCTTCATTGGGACGTCCATCCTCCAAATCTTCTGACTGGTTGTTGTCTTGCAAGAATGCATTAAAATCGACAGCATCTTCATTAGGATGCAAAGCTTGGTAAATATTTATCGGCAGAGTTCCAGGTTTGTCTTTTGTCGAACAAATTCTCATGGTGTTTTGGCTTAAAACCTTTTCCATGAAGCGATGCCCATTGGCGAAACTCAGCCATGTGCTTCACAACAAACCAACAACAACAACATTCTGTGCCCCGATCATTGGCCACCATCAGTACTTCCACAGCTATTCCTGTTATAGAGAAAATCAGGGTGTAGGGAAGCGTAGGGAATTCCATAGGGAAAATCTCTGCATGTGCAAGTGGAAGTCTTGCATTTCCTGCCAATTTTGATCACATGTGTTGATTATTAAACATGTTGGACGAAAAAGGTGTGTATAACTCCAAATAGTTATCAATATTTTTCGGCCAAATATTTTAGTCATTAAAAACAGATCTTTAATTTCTTTTGCACTATGTGAGAAATTCCATAGTCATTATGAACATTGTCTGTCTTTGTGTTGTTCTGCCGTCTGCGCATTTTTGCTTTTTTGTTCATATTGTTTTCATATTATACTGAAAGTAAATATATTTATTAGTACAGTGGTGTATGTCCCGAATGTCATGAACAAAGGTATTCCTCTATCTGTGTGTGTCGATGCTCTCACATTTAACCTTTCCTAGCTCATTCTCCGCGTTTTAAATCCCACCTGGTTCGCGCGAAGATCGGGATTAGGATCGAAAGCTTTGCAATAATAAAATAAGTGGTGTATCCACAAACAATAACTTATATTGTTTGTCATGCAAAATTGCAACTGAAGGTAATATTGGGGTCGTTGTGGGTTGTTCCATGTTTTAGTAATTACATTCTGCGAAATAGTACCCTTTAAAAGGCTTGGGCATTTTTGTGAGGGAAGAAATCGAAGCACCTTTCATTGAAGGCTGCAGATAATACGAAGCCTTAGGATTCATGAAATAGTTGAAAGATGTCTTTGTTACCCACTTTAGTAGTTCTTTAATACATCTGGGTAAACACAAGCAGAAATCATACATCGTTGGTGTTACTGTGTTTCCTGCTCTCATGCTAGAGAATAAGTTCTTGACAAAGAGAGTTTGCAAGCTCTTAACCTTGACATGCTCAATATATTCTGGATTGATGCAATTTATCTTTTCCTTTAAGCGGTTGTCACCTTCGAGGATCATTTTAACTGAATGTAATGTTGTTAAAGATAGAGTTCCATCTGGCCCTTGTGTGTGAGCAGTGAAGTTCTTGATAAGCTGAACCTTCAACGTTGCTTCCTCAAGAAAGCATAATATTCTTGAGTACGGGCAATCATGTCATCATAGGGGATGCATGTCATCTCAGGCATTATGCCGATCACTGTCAGAAAGTCTTTCTTTGGAGCAACTCCAGCCAGAATTGCTTTGGAAGTTCGAAGCTAACTGGTGTTCAGTGTTCATTTGAACATAGTTAATAGAAATGATTTGGAAAAATATAAAATCGCAATAAACCTCGTTATCTATGTTGTTCAGGTTTATGCAAAAATGTGATCTTTCATCGTCATGTGCGTATTGTATTTTTCTCAAGTCAACCAATAGGAATGTTCAAAATGACCTATTGTTAAAGTCATGGATGGGCAATTGGACAAAACCGTTGCTATTGGCTGGTTGAGCAAAAATACAATACGCACGTGATGATAAAGACCATTTTTGCATAAACTTGAACAAAAACATAGATTGTGAGGTTTATTGTGATGCTAATGAGTTTCCAAACCATCTCCTCTATTAACTATGATTTGAATCAGTCATTCTAGTTAGATCACGCTGTAAGGTCGCTATAACGTTGAACTGTAACATTCCTGGAGGTTAGGTTTTCACATTCAAAATAACATCGAACAGGCGTTGTTAAAACGTTTTGATTACCTCTTGTTCAGGCAAAGAATTAAATAATTGGTGTGACAGCAATAGGCATTCAACAAGAATAAATATAGTTCTATATATGAATGTGTCTTAGTATATTAAACAACGTCCACATACGTCTGTTGATCGTGGTAGAGTAATTATTACTGGTCTGATTAATCAGTCTAATCTGTGATGTCGATCGCAGTAGCTATAAACTTGATGACTTATTCAACATTTAATGACAAATTTTATATTAATATATAGTAGTTGAGTCAGTCCGATATCTGCATGTGCGTGTTGTTACTTTCATTATAAAATATAATGTAGCGCAAACATTGTTGGAATGTTTTTGTGCCATGTTCACTTTGTTGGTGGGGAAAACGTTGTTTTAACATATAATATGTAATGTTGCGCAGATGTTATTGGAATGTCCAGGGTTTTTTTAACTCTTTTTCGACCACCCCCTTTCGCATCAGATTACGACACAATTTTTCTAATATAAATATCTCGGCGAGTATTTACCCCCCTTGTAAATAAAAGCCACCATTGAAATCCTAATAAAATAACCTTTCGAACGGGGGGTCAAGTGCCATCAGAGCATTACACAAACCGAAACAATCATATATTTACTCACCGCTTGGCCAAAGATTCTAGATTTTATATCTACAAGATCTTGAATATCTCTTGAACTTTTCGTCATTTCCTGAACGGCTATATGTGTAAAATACTCTTTGTATCCAAGCGCTTTCGTGTAGAAAGTTTGGTATGTATACGCCGACTAGAAATATTTATTTTGAATTTTTCAAGGTATCGGGTTTTAGTACGTTTTACTCGCACTTGCGAACATTGCGCAATAATTGGCCAATAAGAAGCTCTTGTGGCCGGTATGACGTCAAACTCACGCGTGTAGGTGCAATTTGACCTTGCGAATCCATTTCTGGCCTTTCCAGGGTCATATGATACAAACGTCGCATTGTTTTGACGGTTTTCAGACGTATTTCCGGTTGGGATTAACTCACTTCGAGCTCACAGTCGGACAAGAAATGGAAATATATTGATAAAAGATACAGATTTGAAGATACAGGCTTGCAAATAACACTCTAAATAGTGTTTTTGATGGGGATTCGAACAAGACTATAACAAAGACGATATGTGCGAAGGGGCCGAAGTTATTTTCAGCGAAAGGTATGGCTAGTCTATATTTTGTTCAGACAATTGCGTAATTTGATACAATATTATCGTGTTTGACTTTCAAAGGCCCATAAATCGTTACAATGTTAATAATGACTATAACTATCGTTTGGAACTAGTCTATCTTTTATTTCTGAATCGATTGGTGGTATTTCTGTCTTCATAGCATGCACTGAACCGAAGGTATAAAATTTTATAGCCGTCGATCGCTCAGGATCGACGCGATATGGCCTGTGGCGAGAAAGAGTTAAAGAAAAATTTAGAACTGCACATTTTATCTTTGCGGCATACCCAATGGCAAAGGTTTCAACAAGGTCAATAATGTCGGATCTTGGGTAACAATACAACTGGCAGCTTAAATTTGTAAACTTGTTATTATAAATCATTGATGGAAAGTTATTAAAATATAATAAACAAAATAAATGCCAGTTATTGACAAATGCAGTAATTTAATTAGTTTTTGTTAATAATGGTAGATAAAGTACATAAAACTATATAATAGTCAGTTCACTCAACTTAAGACGAGTATTTATAACCCAATAAATCAAGAATGCGAGGCGCCGAAGAATCAAGAATGAAGAAATAATTTGGCATAAATATCCTCAATGATTGAGATGTCAACAAATAAATATATTTATACTATAATTCTATAAAAATTCACCAGCTACCTTATCCGATCAAGCAGGAAATATAGCGTTATTTCTGAATTCCAGTGAACACCACTGTTTCAAATTCCATTCGTTTTACGCCGATACACATATTCTACGTTCGCTTTATTAAATATTTCGGATTTGTAATCCTGTATTAATTTTCTTGAGCAACTTTTCACCGCCATGTTTGTTTTAGAGGGAATCAATGGGATATTACAAGTATAAATAGGATATATGTGTACAGCTGGTTGTGATTAGATTGGAGTAGACAGGATTCCTGTGGTAAGCTGCTGACACGTAAATACAAAGGCGCAGAATTGTTCGTGCCTTTTTAACTTTTTCAACATTGAAAAAACATCCGACGCGAATATAAACTTAACATTTAATAATAATGAATAATGAGGATCAAGGACCAAGTGAAACTGCAAAGACATCAGAGAAAAACACTAAAGAGCCAAAAGAGGATAATCTGAAACACTTACACAAGAATGGTCGCCACTATGTGCGTTGTGAGACATGCTTTTCGAACCCCAATGTCATCAAGATTTTCAGCAGGAAAGCTAAACTTCCAGCGATTGCTCAAGAACCGGGGACTATATACCGTAAAAGCGTCGTTTCCGACCATCTGAACAGCGAAATTCATCGCGAAGCAAAAAAGACAAAGAGATTGTTGTCTTTGAAAGGACCGGAAAAGCTTCATATGACGTCATTGACACCAATTGGAAGGGCATTATCGATCGCAGATGCACAATTGGCTGCGAAAGTTGCTAGCTTATTTTTTCACGTTTACCATGGTGCTAAGAGACTTACTTTGTCTGCCAATTCTTTCCCTTCACGTGTGGTTGTAAGCCG